TACGACGATGGGGTTCTTTTACGATATAAACGAAGTAGACGAAATGAAGCATTTTGTAGATGAAGATTGAGCTCAATATATGACACCGCTGTATAAATGGACGACAGTTGAATGGGTATTGTATAGGGACATCAAAATATTCCAATTATACGAATAATAAACAACATTATTCAGGACATTTATAACGATAGCATTAAGCTTTTTCTTTTTTTGATAATGAGAGACAGATTGCCCACATCGTTTCGGCATATGAAAATCAAAACGCGCTGTGACTTAGACCTGCCGTTACGTAGGATGGTTTAATGTCGAGTAGTTTAAATTTTTGCCCACCCGTATTTAAAGAGCCGAAAAATTGACGAACTAAATGAATTCAACAAATACTAAAGCATTGCTTTAATTAACGTTTAATCTCTTTGTGCATATAATACGTACGTAAGAAAAACGGGGCAAGAAGATATACCTAGTCAAATCGAGAGACTGACTGTACACCAGCTCGGCAATTAGGTTGGCCATTTGGTTGTTTGTTCTGCGCTACCGCGAGTGTCGCTGTGATAATAACAATCGGCAACTATTGTACGATATATAAACTGAAAAATTTCGTATCCATTTGAGTAACTTTGAGCCAGAAGAGCAACTTCATGCCGTTTTGCACATTGTGATACACTGCCAACATAAATAGCTGTATGGATAATGCAGTCCGATAAAACGAACCGCTCGTATGTTGTAAAAAAAACTTGGCGAATTAATCCATTGATAAGAACAATTGTTATAATAAGAGCAGTTACTTTTACAGTAGACGCTTGTCTATCGCCTAGATATAGACAACGAGTCCTACAGTTGGTCCGCATGTATGGACCATTTGAGGAAATAGTTCCTGGCGTATTCCCATAAAATGTTTAGTCATATAAAATGTCCCATAAAAGGTCAGAAAGGCTGCTCGTATCGGGACTTCCAAGAAGTCAGTTCCAAGAAGTCGTGCTGTTCCACATTCCGGTTTCTTGGCACTTTTCAGACCGTTCTGGCTTACCACAGTTGTTCTCAGCGAAATAGCCGTCTACATCTTTACCAGTGTTCCTTTTGCATGAGCTTCCCATGTGTTTACTAACTATCGGAAATAAATATTTGTTTCGTATTGGAAACCAATGGTCTGAACAGCGGTACCGCACGTAAAACTATTGTTTGTATTTGTGAAGACAATTGAGAATACTCATATATAGATATAGAAATATAGTTGTCTAACTATATCTCCCTTAAAACCATTGATTACGGCAATTCATAAAATAAATGATTCAAGTCAAGGTGTTATTGCTTACCCTCGCCAGTATAGATCACGCAATGAAGTACACGCATGCAATAAACTTCAGCCAACAGAGGAAAAGCGAAGGCTTGACCTTCTGTCGGGTCTTTGGGTCAGGAAGGAAGACGTTATAGTCACCTCCCTTCTGACCAACCAGATATGTACGGACTTTACAATTCAACAAGGCTGTGGGACCACTATTTGGCTTTACGGATTAAACAAATTCACGTTATAGAACTGCTGTTAGTGTATAGTCTACAGAAAAGCAAGTTATTGTTAAGGTTATTGCATTGTATTTGACTTTTTCTTGTATTCTATCGAGTTCTCTATATCCATATGACTAGTTTTATTTCGCTTTCCCCGAAATTTTCCCCAGATATCCTTATCGAAAGCTTAATTAATAACCTGTTTCGGGTTGATGGCTTAATCCCAACAAGCAGTCAGTTTAATGAGTTTCTTTATCTTACTAGAAAATACGTTTGTGACAATTTCCTAGAGTTATGTATAACTTTCTATCTAAGTGAAGCATGGGTTTTCTGTGTAATCATTAAGCTAACTTCCAACTGATCTAAGTTTGCGATTGTCTTCGATTGGTGGCCACAGCGCTGGAAACGTTAAGTAGAGGATCACGGGCTAGTTGTAGTAGATCGCAATAAGCACGCTAACTGGACCTGTTACGTCCGTCAATGATCGATGAGCTAGATAGGATTCACGAATCATTATAGCTTTAGTAACTACCGTCATTGTCCTGCCACGACAGACTCCGAAGAATGGTCCCGACAACAGTTGACGAGGGGCCTATTTGTTCGATACAACATCATAGTAATAGGGTGAGAGAGATGTGAAAAAAAAATAGATAATAATTCAGTTAATTAAACGTTTGGAGATCAATTATATCGGGTGTATCTTTGGCATGTATGCGAAAACAACGGCTGTCTTTTAATAATGCAAGGCAGTGCGATAAAGGCGAAGGCGAAGTTAGAGGAAATATTAAGAGCATGCCGGGCAAACTGCAAGGACATATGTAGAGGTTACGTAGCTACCAGGCGTATCACTTCCATAGTGGTACTCAAAAGGACCCCGGAATCGGGAGTCCAAAGTGAGGTTTGGGCAAAAATTCGAGGGCCTTCAGTTTGTAATTGAAAACACTTTTATGACTAAAATCTAAATATCGATTGTCCAGCCCATGGATGACATTACATACGAGTCTCGACGTTTCAATAAGCTACGATTATTGAAACAGTTTAACCAGCAAAGTTGTTATTAGGAGTGTTTTTTGTTATAGTGATATGCTAATGGAATGCCCATGAAGACACACTTTGTTTGATGCTCGTGCAACGTAGTACTAAATGACTATGGTGGGATTTACGAATTAACCATTTGTTACCACTCGAACGTGTATCACACCAATTGTCGTTAAAAATTGATTAACCGTAGTAGAGGAATTCTAAGATCTCTGCCTTATCCGTGAGGCTACTTTCGCTGAAAAAGCTGTTTTTTTTTTTTATATATATACAGGTCGCCGTTGAGGCATTAACAAGGGTGGATAATAAAAGTCTCAGAAACAATTTCGTATTTTCCCTGGTCTCTAAAGAATCGTATAAATGGTTTTTTGTTGTCTTAGTGGTTTATTTTGTAAATTTAGGTTTCACAAAGTGATTTTCGAAATGTATCTATAATGATTAGCTAGCAGTAACTTCGTTTTTCCCTAGGCATGTTAAGTTGTACAGCTTCTTTAAGGATGTTTTGTTCGCGACCTTTCACAGGGAGCATAGCCGATCACTAGATTTTACATTTAACGTTTTCAATTGTCCTTGTCTAACAGCGGTGCTGGACGTACCATTCAATAGTTTCAGCAGTCATCATTTGATCCTAGTACCGAATAGGCTACGTCGACGATTACCGTACGAGATTGTTTCTATAGACCTTGTGATTCCTCTTCACGTAACCCGAAAATAACAATAAACATCATCCGAATGACATTGCGATCGTAAGGCTTGGCTCGCTTAGCGTAGTATGCAGTTTTTTTACTGTATGTATGCGAGAAATAAAAATGAAGGAAGTACATTTATGTTTTAGTATTTGTGCAATGCTGGGCCAAGTATCAATGAAAACAGCTCTCTTGGTCACTTACTCTCCAGGTAAACGAGAATTCTATTTGTCCAATCAGCTGATTGTACGAATATTCCGTAGAGAAGACGACGACAACCACTCAATGCTCTGAAGCATCAATCGAAGTAGAATTCTATTTATATCATTAGGTCTGTCCTGAGCAAATTACACGTTTTTTCGCATGCCAACAGAATGACTCAGATATTTATGGATCCGTTAATGATAATACCAACATGTTCGATTTGAAAAATAACTATTCCTATTATTATTATTATTATCATCCGTTTTCTTCCCTTATTCTTTCAATTTAGAAATGCTGAGCGGTCGGCAAGTGGTGCAGACGCCAACAATGACATCATAATCATTACGCCATTGACCGCACCTTGCGTTACGCTTATATGTGTCAACCTCGGATCCTACGCTGGCTGTCACGAGAGCACTGAAGGTTCTGACTATAGCTTTGGTTGGATCTATGTACAAGGTTCGATTTGTGTTCTGCGACAGTTACCTTGTAAATGCAACCTCTCTCACCTAGTCCCTGTTTAAGGTTGAACGCGTAGACTGGTTGGTTTAGTTGCATCTCCCGCCAGGTACTGGTGAAATGAAAATTTCTTAACGACAGACTACAACCTTTTAGAGGGCTCTTTGAAAATAGTACGTATGTTCGCATGTTTTCTAACATTATTACCTCTATTATCTATTATTTTTTGTATCTGCCACTTAATGTTTTGGGCTCACCAACGCGGTGCGAGCGCTATAAATAATTTGCTGACCTGTCTTAGACATGGTTATATCATAGCTTCAAACGTCAGCTAATCTATCAATTGAGTACTTAACTTTATAACTTAATAAAAACACATTGTAAGGAAACTTGATTTGGCGCTTCAGTTTATTTCATTTGGGATTGAAAGTCTAAAATGAATTTTCTATTGATTTTTTGCACTACAAGTTTTGCTAAAAACAGTATGAAAACCTGAGGTAGCTTTTCTGCTGAAATAAGGTCAAGGTAATGGCTTCGATAACGAAATAGCGTCGCAGCTCCCGTCCTATTCGCTACCCAATCAACGGATGGATGAATCAGTAATAGGATTAACTGTCAAAGTAATAGCAGTAAATCATCAACCAAGAAATGATCATTATCTGTGAAAAAGTGCTTGGTAATAGTAAAACTCTAGCAATTAGTATCATATTCGTTTTAGTTAGGTTTCGCATTTATTTAACAGTCCCTGTTGCGTCCTATGATAATTGCGTTCCATTGATAGAACGATAGAGGCAGGGGCTCTGCCGGTTAACAAATTCTATTCTTGACGTGGAAATTCAGAATGCAACTATTCCAGTAGTACGGTAGAAACAATGTATCGCTTGATCCTCGTTTTTAATAGTTACCCGTCATTATAGGTATCGTCGCTTCTAGACAACATTTTCGCTTAAGGTAATAGCTTAATTCTCCTCAGACCTTCTTGTCCACGGCCTTGTTCGATTCTAACGGCGGCCAGGCCGAAAAAAGCTAAGCACTTAATATTTCGTATTGCTATTTTACCTTTTCTTCGACGCTACACATAGCATAGGTGACAGTAATAATTCATTATTGGCCTAGTATGAAGAGAACTATACGAATTCAATTCAATGCCAGTGTGATCACAGACCTCTCATTTTTTCCTAACGGTTTTTTTTTTTTTATTGTTGCATGACCATTCTTACTCAGATTGCCCTGTTAGTAATATTATATATAAGTAATATATATATATATATATATATTATAAGATAATTTTCACAATTGGTAAATTTTTCCCAACGAATCTAGTTTGTAGCAAATCTGCGAAACCTGGTCACATATTCCGTAAAAAGCATCGTAGTCCGTTTCCTTTGCTATCGCTTATAGAGAGCTCCCAGTAAGTGCCTGGAACTATTGTAAGGCTTAGTCTGGCAACTGACATTTGTAAAGATTTCATGAATTCTCCTAGACTGGGTAGGTTTCGCTTACGGTGGCGGTTGTGGCCTATCTGAGGACTTTGGAGTCACTACATCATAATATTATATGTATTTATAGATCTAAAGATCGCACATATAGAACTAGTAACTATCTTTACTCCGTTCGTACGCGATCGTTAAGATTAACAGCAGCAGTAATAGTATTTATTATCATCATAGTATAGATTCTATTCTACAAAAAGTATACGTTAACAAGTCGATCTTGACTATGAAACAAGTTTTTCTTTACGTAAGTGCTAGGAGACAAACAATTTTTTATATTGGGCCGATTTTACCTAAAGTTCCATAAGTATGTTACCTGCGTTTATGTGTGTGTGCATTTCTTAAAATACGTTTAGCGTCTATGAGCTATTACTATTTTTTTTTTTCATATGTAACTACCAGTATAGGTTTATTATTATTATTTTTTGTTTTCTCTAGAACCTTGCGTCTTTTAACGTCGTCTCACCTTGCGGGTTTTCCATGTGAATACGCTCTTCAAAACCCCAAACCATCAATTTCATCAGTATCACATTATTACTCTTATCATTAAATTCAGTTTTCAAGCGTCTTGTGAACTTCTGATAACTTTAAAATGGTATTGGTTTCTTTGGCGCTCGTTGTTTGCTTAGTCTGGTTTTCTGTTATTATTATGTTCGTATCAGCAAACATTTTCAAAAATCAGCAATGTTATCTAGAACATACAGAGCGTCACTTGCTCGTCTCGCATTCAGTGTCCTACACGCATCGTCTATGGCGGGCCCCTGCCTCGGCCTTCGAAATTGCTCGGTTTTTTACGAGTCTCCGACCCGCATCTATTGACACGAAAGGGTTGCACACGCACTGACATTGCGTTTCGTTTGAATTTGCCTTCTAACAACGGCCTACAGCGCCTCCAACATATCTCAACGATTAAAAACCTCTATATTAAACGACCTTAGTGAAATTTTCGTTTTTCTTTCCAATGGTCTGTTACTCGTAGGCGGCTAAATCATTTTGCTTAGCATCTTAAGTGTTGCTTAAGACCAGCCTCGAAACAAATTGTCACCGTTGACCTTCATCACCATTATTGTTGCCTTACGTGCATAGACGTATGTATAGTGCCGTGGGTATTCATATATAGAGTTTTTATCTACTCATTCTCGTCGTCCCTTTTACTCAGTTGACCATAGACCTTCCACTTAATTTGTTGAATTTTGACACCTTTGCCATGAAAATCTCTATATTTTTGTTTTCTATTTATAACAATAACAACGAAGCTATATAATTGAAGAATTTATAATTGGACCGACACCAGCCTCATCGAGAAATGCGGCTCGAGATCACAAATAATACCGTAGGAGCGAGAGCTTATCCGGAAATTTCGAAGCCAGAATCATTACCTCCAAGTTCCGACCCCCATACACTATCATTACTCAATCGGACAACAGTACGTTTCTGTAGAAGGGGTAGAATTCTAAAGAAGAAAAGTTGTACAACCTAACTTCGTATGTGTCCGGTCGTTCAATGTGGCTTCAAGGAAATTTCGCGAAAACAAAAGTACGTTTTCACTCGTAAACTCAAAAGTACGTTTCAAACTCAAACGGTTCAAATCTATTAATAGATTAAATTTTAAATATAATATTACTTAGCCTTTCCAAACGACATTTGACCTGTCGTTACTAAACTGCCCTAGTCGCTGTCGACGTCCGCAACGCTCTTAGAAAGTCAGCACCTGTGTCACTTTACGATAGTTTTACCATATGGCCATACTATTTTAAGATATATAGCTTCTTTTTTTTTCCTAGGCCCCAATTTATTTTCTACTACAGCAGCCTGTTAATTCTCAAAGCGTTCGTGGAAGACAGCTGATCGTTTACTTTTGCCACAGCCCTCAACGGAATCCGATTGTTTCTACTCGAACGCCACCCTCACAGCCCAAACAGACCAGCGACCCTCTCAACGCAGAGCATTGCCGTCGATTTTGCATGCCTCCGGGCTCGCTTTGAAGCGAATCTCTTGTTTGTTGTCATAATTTCCGCTTGATCATTTCCTAAATTGGTGCCGTCCATATGGTCGAATCACAAAAACAGCAGTGCCCGAATTTGCTTTGCTCTGCTCTGCTCCACTCCGTTTTCATGTGGCACACGTCCACCTTTAACTTATCTTTTCGATGTCTAAATCTTTGGAGACGGTAGAGGGGTTGAACATGCATACCCTTCAGTAGTATGCAGTATTTATCGTCAATGCATATTCATCGGGTATACAGCGGTTATACATACATACATACATACATACATACGTACATACAACAGTTTTTCTTCGTTTCATATCACTATATAAACAAAGAGACAAGCGCGCACGCATTCTCGCCACGCGTTAATTGGTTTATTTGCATAAAAAGACGTAATCGTACATCACAACTAAAACAACTTCACGTCACGTACCACCCACGCAATTATAACTGGGCCCAGATGCTGGTCTTGGCATCGCTTATCAACATCGTGGCCAGTCGATGGAATTACCTTAGAAATATATCGTTATTTTTGTTGTTACTAACCATAAGCGTGTTTATAGTGGCACATGCGGCCAGAATATATGTTTGTTTACAGAGTTGATAATATTTCTCTGCGCTTGAAGCTCGACGGCCTCAGGAGGTGACTATTCGGCTTTTCATTGTTTGACCATACAGAACCAATATGAAGGATCAAACTTTGCCTTTTTGCGCTTCTCCATATCACCATCAGCCATTGTTTCCCTTTCCGTTGTATATTTCGATTTGTTTTTTTTTTCATTTTGTTTCCTTTGCAAGTATCCGTAAACTATCAATTTTTATGCGCGACTTCAAGACTTGATCTACCATTTGATACGTTCACTGTTTTTGGCCGTGCGGCCTTTCCTTATAACTTATATATCTACATAACTATAATTATCTCGTAGCCGCGAGGTGCCTGAAGATTCTGAACAGTATCGCTGCTTTTTTAAGACATGCTAAGTAAACAAAGTGCTAAACGGAAGAATTAAAGTTAAAAAGGCAACTTTATAATGGAGAACGATTAATATAGGGGTAAGGATAGGGTTCCTCTGGATGGAAACTGTTCATGTAAGCAGACGTTCTATAATGGATCGTCGGTGTTACCGCTTTTGGTGTTTTTGTTGGAGTGCTCGCTTATGATTATTAGACCATCTTAATTTATATTACATATTATAGTCATATTAATTTGACGCCAATTGAAACTGGTAGCCAGACAAAGGCAGCGGTACTATTACGATCGCCCTAGACTTGTCCCCAGTAATTCTAGATTTGTCACTGATCATGTCGTTTACGTTGGTTACATCACTGGCTATCGTTGGCGTTGTAGGAATCGTATTATCTATAACTTCAGTGATCACGGTCGACAATTACCGTTACGGTAGTAATCGCGCAAGTGTTATATCTATCTATTGATTCCAGACCCTGAGCGCTGGATGTTCGTAGGCGTCCTGCGACTCGATGACATCCGTTGGAACACGACAGTTTGGCTTATTCCAAGACAGGTGCTTGTTGTTCCGCTCGTATCGAACTTATATCTGTCGGATGAAAAGCGTAGCGTTCTTTTTCACGTTTCCTTAATCCCGTCAATTTACTAGACCTTAAAATGTTCCGTCCTTTGCCTCGTTCTTCGAGGTCACAGGTCAATACCTCACTAATTTAAACGAAACTCGGTTAACGACATTGAGGATCGCTATCTTTATTTATTTTGCTTTTGTTGATTTTCGATTCCTTGGACCCGAGCAGCAGTAAGCAGCAATAAGAGCTGAAATAAACCGTGTCATAACAAACGCCAGGCCAGTGATGAAGGGAAGCTGGAAAACGAAACGTATTTGGCTCTGATTGACGAGTTTTTAGTTGTAAAAATATATAGATTGAAGCATCTAATTAATCATAGTCTCTGTAGCGTGATCTGGCACCCCGTTTTTGTGACCTTCCTAAACATTTCATACGTTCTAATCCCATTTTCGCCATTGCTATGTATTAGAAACTCGCTAGTCATTGTTATCCATGATTGAAGTATACGTTCGCCGAGGTTGGCTGGAGTGTTAATGATGTCTAACCGTTGATCATTACCGTGAACTGATTTATTAGCGGTTGATTGACATCAGTTAGCTTGCTTCGTAGTAACCGAGGGATATTATGTAATGGCTGCTAGCTCTGACAGGTGATAAATCAATCAATTTTCGCATAGTTGCAATTCTCTACCTGTAGATTTGAATGGCCCTTATTTGTTCGTGTGCATCTGGAAAATCGTTAGTTGGACTGCTTTAAAGCGGGGCAGAACCATTCACCGATTTCGCGTTATGTGAAACTTGCTTTTTGACGATGGTGTGACTATCAGCGTCGTTGATCCTGCCTTCGTTATGGCTGAGGAAGTGTCATCATCCGTTATCACGTCCCCTGAGGTCTTTCAGTCTTCTCACCATGACTCTAGGAAGGTGCCCGATTGCTAAGTGATTTACATATGTCGCTTGCTGCTCGTTCATTATCTTTATCGACGATCCCTGGCCTTCACCGTCATGAGGCCGATCTCTTCAGCGTTGTTGGAGTTGAAACATTGATCAAAGAAGCTCTCCATCGACCTGTAGAGATGAGCCCGCACGCCGGAAAGCTGGTGCCTTTGATCGGGGTAGGTCTACAACGAAGAGATAGTAACGCAGAGAGCGAAATGGAATAGAAGCGTTTGTTATAAATCAATTTGAATTTTCCGTACTAAGCCAAAGGGCGGGAAATCCGATTATCTTACTAGCAATATATACCCACACCTACATGCGTATATTATTGATATGAACTTATTCCAGGAGAAATCCACCTAAACTTTCATATCTCTATATATATATATATATATATATATATATAGAGAGAGAGAGAGAGAGAGAGAGATCATGATCCGTCTAAATCTTGACGTTTGACACTTCGTCCCCAAGAACAAGTTGAAGATGTGAAATAACTAAAAATAAAGAAGAGAGCTGCGCATTACTGAATGTCATTTTCGCTATAAAAAGGATTAGAGAAAACATTTAGAAAGGAATAAATGAGTGACCTCCTTTTTTCGTGCGAACCTTGCCAGACTTTTTTCAACAAGAACGAGACGCTCGTTATAAGACAACACTGCAAAAGAATTTGAGAACTTCATTATTGCATAGGGGATTATAGAGTTCTAGGGCTAGTGGATAAAAATGAGCGACATTTCGGTCATGCTCTCGTTTTCTACCTAAACTGGTCTTTGACAATTATTGACTTTAATTCGTACCTTGTTAATGGGAACAATGATTCAAGCATAAGCTAAGACGGAATACTTCCGATCGATCCCAAGCCAATACAACCATAAACGAATAACCAGTATTGACCAGGACGTAAAGTTTACCGTACCAAGCTAGAGAACAGGATTTCCTTCTTTACAAGCGCCTGTGTGAGCATCATCGATTGTTGGTAATGGACATTATCTGAAATAAAAACGGCGGAACGAGGTCAGCAAGTACTGCTGACGATTTGGTTAAAGTTTCGATCTGTATGGGGCTCGATAAACTTATTATAGGGAAAATGCCCTATATTCCTGAAATGGATTCTGCGGAACCGTTTCATACACCAAATTCCTTATTGTGGTTTAATTCGTTTGGGAAAAACTGTTTATATACGTTTGGACAGGCTGCCCTTTTAACTCCTATAGTTAATCAGAAATGGAAAGAAGTTACTTCTACAGAAGGAGACAAATATTCGCAAGGAGTACAAATTTATATTGTCTGAGCTATTGTTAAGACTACGTTAATGTGAGATGTCCATTTTGCCGAAAAACTGAATGGGTTTCGGTCTGTGAGAGGATCTGAGCAATTGATTTCAAACAGGTGTTTACCGTCAAGGGTTCCGTGTATCAGGAAGAACTTCTTGTTTTTGATGTTGTCGACTTGACGGGTCAAGTCAGCTGTTTCGTACCCTCCGACGTTGACGCTAGGATTCTGCATATAGCGTTCAGTATAAGCGGCATCTGAAATGAACAAAGAGTCACATTTATATCGACGACCTTATAGTTTTAAACACGCAAACGGAAAAATTGAGATGCTAGTTTAAGTTCTTAGTGAAAATGTAGTGTTAATGCGGTTTTGTTAAAGCGCATAAACTCACAACAGTTCATAAAGTGTACTAAATATTAAAACAAAATAAAGGAATTATTAAAATTAGTTATAAATGTGTATAATAATAAAACAGTTTTAGAAATAGTTTTAAAGTATAACACTATTTAAACCAACATGGCCTTAAACACACGCTAATTAAATAGGTGCTGCTCGCTGGGATCGCATCGTAAGTGAACATGACCCAAGCCTCAAGCTCATCGTCCTTATAGGTTCCCGTACAATGACGCAGTAACTTACCATAGTATAGCCAGTTGGAAGCGGGCGCGATTGAGATTCCACAACAGAAGACGGGGTCGGTTTCGCTGTCTTGAGCAAGTGCCAGGGCTGTCACGTACCCGCCATAGGACCACCCCTGTAAAGCGACATGATCCTCTTCAATGAAGTGTAGCATGCTCTTGAGGTAGCGTACAACGGCCAGCTGATCGGCTACTTCGATAGTGCCAAGGTGTTTATAGACCTCGTGCATTCGAGTTTCGCCTTGTCGGGCGGAGCCTCGTCCGTCGATACTTGCGTAGATGATGTTTTTCTTTGAAGCTAGATAGTGACCCCAGCTGATCACAAAACGCTCTTGAATTGCAATCGATCCTGGTCCAGCGTAACTGCAGCGACAGTGAGGCGGATGAAACACGACAGTCCGATATGCGTTCGTTAGTCAAGCCTTGACTTATAAGAGGTCATCAAGATGTTCTGTTGAACATCCACAACACAAGCCTTAAACATCTAGTTTTTTGTATAACATGGTGGAGTGATGCCACTCATACGTCCTATTGAGCCCACGTTAGCCAGTTCATATAATCGTTTCTCAAGAAAAATTCTAATGTACAACTGCTTTTCTATTCATGTCGGACAAGGTCTGATGAAAGTTGGACATTGCGCAAGAAGCGTAGTTTTTAATAATCAGCAAACAAGACTTACACGTCAACCACCATTGGGTATTTGATGATTTCTTCATCACGAAGTCCTGGCGGAAGTAACAGACGCACCGCAGCATCTATGGATGACAAAAGGGTGTCGACATCGTTCATATGTCTGATTATGTAATTGTGACGAAATCTGCTATTTAGATGAAGTTATATTGTGAATCCTGGAGGTAACTTATGTCACATAACAACAATGAATCAATAACATGTACCACATCGTATTTAAATGTGAAGCCATTTGAGAATAGCGCAGAAATGTGCCGCTAGGTGCATCTTCAAGCATTGTTGTTATTAACCATATGCTGGAACCTACTAAGGAAGTGGAGTAGAGAAACGCCTTTCTTCAGAACCGGGGGCAACTCTTTCCCGTTCAACGTCGCAAAGACTCAGAAAGAATAACAACGAAAATATCGATCTAGTAAGTTACCTATGTGCAAGTAAAGTTTGCTGCTCTACACAGCTTCATTGCACTTGCAGATAGGTAACTGGGTTCCACGAAATGGACTACAAAAACAAATGGGTCGTGCGTGTCTTGGCCCTTACCTCTAGGAACAAAAGATTGATAATAATGCTGCGATGATTGCTTGCACTGTTTACCGATAGGTGCAACACAGCATGCGTTCTTTGTACGAATATGCTGACGATGAATGAATGATGAAAAGTTGGGAAACAGAAAGAGCTCATCAAAGAAACTTACTATATTTGTCCGTCAGAGGGGCTGAGAAATTTCGGACCTGAGGCATAGCTCGAATCTCGACTAGTTCACGCAGGCGGTCATTTGTATCCATAATTTTCACTGAAATTTGGAAAATTTAAGTTCGTCAGAGTTTAGTTCTACGTTTTCAGTTTTTGAAGTTTTTTCCATTTCTATAAGTTCCGTTTTAGTCATGGTTATGGAACAGTCTGTAGAAAGCGTTAAACAAACAATTGTAGTCACCAAGTTCAAATTTACATTATTGATTTAAATTAAACATTCATTTCAAATCCACCACAGAAAGAGTGACAGCACAACTTCTCTGCACTTCTTCACAGCTTCTTCTGTAATATTTTTGAAATAGTCCATTGTTACATAAACACAATCGAGAAAAGTATGTATTTCAACTATTTTATACCATACCCATTATAAAAGGTCCACAACGTCAAATATTATACAAATAATATACATCGATAAAGGTCAAAACTTTTTTCGTAAAATGTAGGGAACCGTATCTCGCAACAGATTCAATGCTGTTTAGTTAAGATCGCATGTAAGTTATGCGAACTAGCGGCGTAATCTTTCGATCGCCGCTATTTAATTATTAGTGTTACCTATAACAGGCATGGACTAGTCCAACGATATGTTAACGTTACCGCTTAGCCCTAGAACTACAACTTAACCAGATGAAGCCACAGTGAAGCGTTTCTTACCGACTGTGTTATTTTGGACGACATCAACGAGGGCAACTGAGGGTATGCCTGGACCAAGACATTCACGAACATAGAAGTCTGCCGTGGGATTGAAATGCGCATCGACGAAGGAGCACTCGATGTCGACATTGAGATCGGCTGGAGAGTCCGAAATGTTGGCGGATCCACTTCCGATATCGCAAGTTAAGCACTCGAGCTCCTTGTCATCATCTTTTGTATCCTTGACACGGTACAGATGTTGTTCGCCCGGGGCATTTTCACGCGTCGACAAGAAGTATCTAAACGAATAGACAAATACAGACAAACACATTAGGACATATTTACGTCGAAGACAAGTGCCTTTGGACGATATTTTCACAAACGAACGCTAAGGCTCTAGAGTGACTTTGGTAATATCGCTTATGATTACTTGGACAGTTCAATCAAAAGCTAGCCAGCTGGGAAAATAATAGCTCGTCGCGTCCCTTGTAAGGTGACGGGTAACATATTTCATTGACATGGTTGATAGTAGTTCGCAAGATCAATCTTACACAAATTTGTTCTTTTTATCGTATGCTTTAAGCGATACGATATCAAACGGACCATGTGTCAGGTAATCGCGTTCGCCGGTCTGAAATGATAAATCGCGATTGAAATTCATTAGTAAACAAAGCGAACGTATTTAAACAGAATAAATAGTTAATTATTTAACTTTTTTAATAGTATAGTACTTGTCATGTAGTAAGGTGGGCTATAATTAGGTCCGGAAACAATACAATCATTTTTTAAGGCCTTTTTCATTTGCCAAATTCATCCTATCGCTTCGGTCCTCATAGAAGGAACAAGTGATACCACCTACAGTGCTATAGACAGAGCGCGTGTAAAATTGCTACGTCAGGCTTCCCACTAACGGCAGGACCTATAAGCTTGACGCCAAAGCTATTGCTGTTTCTATTTAGCATCCCTATCTTCTTGCTGTGTTGTTCTATCTTGGCATCATAAACTATTATGCCATCCTTTGTTCCAGAAGCGTCTTGTTATCCTTTTTTTTAGGATCTCAAGTTTAACAAGTTTATGGCATTTTAACAAATTGTAAACGAGCTGAAAACCATCAAGCATGTTTGTGTAACAATAAGATAGAAATTTATTATACCTGCAACGGGAACTAAAATCAATATTAGAAGTTCATTAAGCAAAAGTGGAAAATTTTCAGAAGATAAAGATACATTAAAATATTAGAAAATATAGGTCAACGAAGTTTTTTTCTGCTTTTTGCAGTCAATTTGATTGATCTCTTTACAAATCGGTTTTGGTCGGCTTTGTCACTTTCTGTCTTGTACCAACTTGAAATTTTTCGAATCAAAAAATATGGTTTTTATCTTAAATATTTTAAATGCAAGCGTCCCAACGGTACATAACTATTGCCCATTGGCAAACAACTGAGAAATGAAAGCAATAGATGGCCCCGCTAGTACCTACAGTATGCCTACCTAGTATGCTAGAACCTACAGAGGAGTCGTAATTTCAACCTAAATACAAACATAGTTAGATATGATTAGCAGTTAGGTTAGGTTAGGTTATGAAAAGTTGACAACTTTACAGAAGCATCCGCTTGTTAGACAAGGTATTACGAATAATTGCCACAGCTGAAAACGTTAGATAGCTTTAGCGTGATGGATGCGTGCAGAATTTATTTTTTTAGAACAATGAAACGCAGGCTGCCAATACTGTGGGTAAACTTGCTTATGATATTTATTACTTCTACTTATAGTACTCACGGCAAGGCTGATTTTGGCCACATGTAAAAATTTTCCGTTGGCTCCATCGTTAACAGGAAGCGGAAGAAAATAGGCCTGCCGTTCGCCGTCAAACAAGGGTTGATCGTTGATTTCGACCCAACCAGTATGCGAAGTCTCTGTTTGACTCTGAGTTTCGGTTTTGAAATCATAATAAAAAATACGTGAAAATAGGAAAAAAACAAAGAACATTACGCAGTACATAAATATCAAATACGTTTATCGAAGTTTCAATAGCCTTTTGTCAGAACAGCTTTAAGAGTGAAACGGTCACATCATTGTAAGATGGACTATAGCAAAAATGTCAAAATAAATCTGTGGGTTGAAAAATCCCACACGACATTTTTACGAACGTTACGAATTGGATATAATGCAGTGCAGATACCGAACATTTATTTTTTTACGCATGTATATAAAAGTTGATACATGTCTTGGCATTCGCTGGGTTGCTTGCCCATAACCCCAGATTTAATGGCCGCGTTCCGTCTTCAGTTTGCTGCACTGGGTGTTAAGCGGTCAAGTAACCATCTCAAGAGAAAAGTGAATTTAATTAGAGCCGAAAATATGGCGCCTCAAAGGGTTACCTCAGCACATTCGTAATCAGAGTTCTTGCGATTGTGATCCCAGCAGACAGCCAGCACCGCCTGAGTTTGCGATCTAAGCAGAAAATTCATCAGAAGGCGGTTATCATCAATCCATGATACTATCGTGACGTAGTATTCCCTAAAAGGAGAATTGAAATTCATACGAATATATATCAGTTCCAAAGTGTTTTATAAATATTCAGACGTACGTAGAGACACGTTAGTCAGCGCCTTCGATGCTTAAATACTTACATTGTGCAAGTTAAAAGTTGGTAACGCTTAACTACCTAAAAATATTACGTAAGTCACTAATAGATCAATTCTTTCAAACCTTGTTAGTATCTCAAGATTTTTTCCAGAACGACATCATTAGTTATCATTCATTTTGACGACTTTATTCGTTGGCCCTCCGTTGATCTTCATTGGCTGTAGCGTCGAAGCTGAGTTTGTTTTCTTTTTAAAAAGAAACTGAATTTTCCAGCAGCTAATCCTTTGACCTCTGCTACTTGTGGACTCAAAGAGATGCTACCCAATAGATTCTTATATGCCAGCAGTATTTCGTTCGCCAGTGAGACTCAGGCGGACACCGCACCATTTTGTTAATACGAAAACCAAATTGTTTGAAAGTAATAAAACCGCTCGTCGCAATAAACATTGTGTGGTTTATTTAGAAACCATTCACTGGTAAATCTATGATGACTTCTCTCAATTCAGTATTCCACAAATAGGATCGGTATTGCAGCGTACTTGAACAAGGCTTCAGAAGTAACAGTTCGTCCTGAAGATGGAAGCAGTACTTTACCAGACCGTGAGTAAAGAAAAAGCGAACTTCAACTTAAATCTGCCGGATTGCTGATGTACACGGTTATAATAGTAGAAGTACAAACTACCGCTAGGCCCGTGAAATCACAAAACCGATGCTCCTCAATCCATGCAACTGACCGAAAGGACATCCCGGTCCCAATTATATACGGCTTTTTGTTTCCTTCATCAGAACACTGTTGTTGTTGTTGCTGCTGCTGCTGCTGCCACTTCTATCGGAAAGCTTCTTTAACGAGCGCAGCTACAGCCGAAGGGCATGGATGACCTTTCCAATAAATCAATTCACCGTGTCACTGTGATATCTTGGTGGATTCGGTTCGCTTCCACTCGAATCCCCGATACCCCGATAAAATATGAAGAGTAGGCATGAGATATTCCATTCATCCGCCAAAAATATCAGGCCTACCAGGTTCGTCCATTTTCAGTGCTCTCCTTTTTTCATGTTCCGTTTTCTGCTATTATTTCAGAGGTGTATTAACTTGGGCGTAACTCTGCCTGACGTTCAGCTTCACAAGGTTTCACCCTTAACGGCATACGCAACTGATCAACACAACGTAAAAACAGATTTCACGGTCACTTTATTGGAGGTGGAACAGTTTATTCATTGACAGCTTTTCTATAAGCAGGGACAAATGTGCATGGATGCGAACGAGGCGGGCTAGCTGGGTAAATGCTTGTTAAAGGTTATGAAGAGAATTGCAACAGAAATCAAAGATACACAAACGAAAGGAGAAGCAAGCGGCTCCTGTAACAATAGACGCAAAACGGGAACAGTATCGTTCTACCAAAATGAACCATTTTTAAATAGTGACGAATCAAGCCCGATCATCTTTCGTCTATATTCATTCAGATCTGATTCGTATAATCTCTACCGCAGCTGCCGATAATCATCACTAGGCAAAGCAAGTCCATAGAAATTAGAGAAATGTGTAATCTTCTAATAAATACAATCTACCCTCATGGAGTAGTTGATTTGTTAATGCACTAGAATACGCGAATGCCAGAGAGGGTAGCAAACATTTTTTATCGGCAATTTTAGTGACCTTCTTTAAATCGTAAGGCTTAGCCACCTCAAAGGATCTGGGCCTTTTGCCCAGTAATAGCCAATAGAAATGTATACGCAGGTACAAATGCATCTGTGCGACTTTTTGCGCAGAACCAGCTTGTTCAGTAGTGCAATGTCCTGGTCGTGTCCATAAGAATTAGCAATTTCTACGCTTTCATACGGCACCTCGTGAACATCTTCTATTTATACGTGCTTACGTCACCCCCGCTGTAATACCCCAGACTGAAAAAAATAAACACCCCAATACACAAGACATTTAAAGCTACCTAGAAACCTAAAATTAGAAGCTTTCCGGCAATTATTTAAATATCTATGCTATGGCTTCACTTAAGCTCAAAAAATGTCACATTTCACGTAATTCCATACCGCCAAAATTCATTTCAGCATATTATTTAGGAATCGTTTGAGCACTCTTTCCCCCAGTTATTGAATATCCTGTTAGGTCCTACAGTGAGTGCTCTTGTGCATATACCTCGTGTCTATCGTAATACTCACTTGCCACGTAAACTCTGTGGAGGCTTGACGACAACAGCTGACGGAAAGCTGTTGTCGCCCTCCTTTGGAAGTGTCTTAAAGACGAACAGCTCAACGGACGGTATCGGCCTGCCCGGTTTCGGATAGCGAAGTTGCTCGATTTTAGGGTATTGATTGGCCTTTGGGTCAAGTTCCGAGCCGTAGCGAGGAATCGGTTGGATATCCACCTACAGAAGATGAGAAACAGAGAAAAGGCGAAAGCAAATGTGTTAAATATTAAATATAATACAAGGCAGATGCATTATAGCAAAGGATACCAACACCTGTGGAACATACGTAAGGTCTGAGAGCAGGCGATCACATGTACACTTAAGCCCACAGCAAAAGTGCTGCATGTCCCTTATTGTCGATTCTACTGCAATGTGCTGATTGCCTCTATATTTTACAAGTATATATATGTCCTTGCATATTCAATAAATATATTATTTGGGTTGATTAGAATGATTTGCTTGCACACGTATTTGGCATACTCAATGCAGACAGAGCTTTTCATTCAGCGTTGTGTTCGATGGGGGGTGTCTGAACGACTAGCTCAAACTGTAGCTGCTACTTCTGCTTCGAACCGCATTGAGAAGCCAATAGCTGGTCATATAAACCCGTCGTTTATTCGCCCCTGGAGCCCTCTCCGTTACCACTTCCCTACCTTTTTACACACCGGCAGGCACATAAGTGGAGTAGCGTAGAATGAAACAATGGTTATTTCAAAATATAAATTCCTATGCGTATCCAAATTGCAGCGAAAGAAGGTCGCGGCTGCCGGCGCTGTTGAAGCGTTTCTAACCGTCATTTCATTTGTTTTGACTTAGATAAATCTTCACAATACAATTGACTAGTCCCGGAACTTTGCCTGGTCACCGGAGAGCAGCTCTTGTTAACGTCGGCTACTACTTCTGCTACCGGCGGAAGACCGTTGATGTCCCTCAACCGTACGAGTTCTTCGCTTCTTAAGTTCGCATTACCATATTTCTTGTTTGCTACTAGTTCTCTGTCAAGACCTAATTGCTTCACAACACCCAAAGTAGAAAACCAGAAAACAGGATATAAGATAAAACCTTTTAGCTTATCCGAAGTAACCGCTCTGTGCGCTGCCGTAGTCACTTAGGCAGGTATATTTCTGCCTTCCAAGAGAACACGAATCCGCATAAAAGCGAAAATGACAAGTAAATGAAATGACTATTGCCTAGGCCAAAAGACTACTTTCTTTTTCTTGACTAATATCAGTGGAGAACATTTTTGAAGTGCTTCTAATCAATGCTGATCGGATTGTGCTGGAGCCGTATGCAGACGTATAAAAACCCGTTCTAAACGGACAATGTCGAATAAGTCGGGTGGCACAGTATATGAAAACCTAAGCGGAATCAGAGGAGCTCACTCGTGTATTCTACTTCAGCTTGCATTAGCTACCTTGTTTGACATGAAACCATTCCTTGGTTTTGTCTGTCCGAAAACCACGAGTAGATTCTTTAATGGTAAACCCTTCTTTGCTTTTACTTCTAGCCTTATATCTGGTTCGTAAAAGCATTTCGCCAGAGGATTTCATAAAAGATAAAAATTCTGAAGCTGCTGGCTGGCGAAAACAAAAGGCTAAAAAGGGGGGTCTTACTCCTAAGAAGGACAGTACAACACACTTGAAACAGAGGATTCCAGGTCAATACCCGTCTACGAAATAGTGGTAAGCACATCTTCACCGGAATTGTTGACTTTATATCCGTATAGTATATATGCCTCGTAGCTCGTTCTAATAATGTATGTACGATGGTAGCAGTTGGCGTGACCACAAGGTGTATGGAAATAGGTTGACTTTAGCTCAAATCGGCTATACAATGCTGCGAGGCTAGACAAGAAACTGCATTCCGACCATAGCTACGAAGGATGAAGTAGGCATCGCTGCCAGGAAGCTGCAGGCCGCTATGTACTGCTCGTTCGGCTACCAGACGTATCAAGTCAGCGCGTGCTACGCAATATGCGATACACTTGTAGGCCGCGGAAACAGACCGCGTAGAGAAAGACGCCGACATGAGAAGAGTGCCTTATGTGGCGCCTCTTGCGAACAGGTTCAAGGCAATAAGGTTACAGAGAGCTACAAAGGGTTTTAATAGACGAAAACAGAGGATGTGTAAGACGGGGAGTTTCGTGGACCTTGAATCCATATTCCAAAAAGGGCGCGTTCCCTAGGTGACGCTTTGTCCAACCTGCTAGCATTTGCTTGTTGTAGCGTGTTTTCGGAAGCTTCTGACAGACAAAGGGAAATAGGTTTCGCACCTATGGGAATTGCTTCAACAGCGATATTCGTCTGGATTGCTGCTAGGGGGTAGAGAGTGCTCGAAAATAACCTGTTCCCAGCCAAAATTGAGTCTGTGACTCTTTTACAGGTATGCCGACACCATGGTAAAGGTTGCAAGTTAAGATTATATCAATATATTTCTGTGTGTAGTATAGGACAAAAAAAGCGCAATTCTGGGTGTTAAGCGATATTCGAGTGTGCCTAAAATAGGATGACAAACGATTATCGAAGCAATAACGCATGAGGCATATCCTTCATATGATGACCAGAGCGAGTCCCCTCTAAATCAAGAAACTGATAATACACGTTACTATAAGAAACTCGTGTAGTCGCTGGTGTTCTGTGTACGAGTTGCTACCGTAAAAGGATAATACTGAATTCGTTTACTTCTAAACTAGGTGGATCTTTGAAACGGTTCACCGGAAACTCAGCCAGCGAGAATCACCTGTACGAAATGAAAATAATGTAGGGTATAGCCTTATCTCAACAGTACCCTAATTTTATCTGCATGTACTATTCGGGTCACATACAGAGCTGCATGCATACATCAATACGAAACAAAAAGGGTCAAAACACAGTAAATAAATGAATTGTTGTTTATCATTTGATGCAGTTATCTATGACTTCACATAGTAACACAACTTACTTTGGAATCGTTAAATTTAGCGAAGCAAAGCTTTTCACCGTTGGGTGAAAACCACATTGCTTTGTTTGAGGAAAGGATCTCTTCTTCATAGAGCCAGTCGGGGATAGCATTAAATAAAACATCGGATTCACCTGCAAAAAACACAATGGACACAGGATGATTACTGAATTATGCCATGCTAATATACTTTTGGTAAATGGAAAACAGTGACGCTAGCAAAATCTCGACGGAACAAACGGCGCCCTACGAGCGTCTCTTCCAAACGCTGAAACGTTTTTCAGCCTCACATTTAACACGACACATAATTAGGACATCTGTATAATAAAGTTTGTTCAGTGGATAGATTGCGCTTAATTTGCGATTGGATTAAACGTACGCAGGCAAGGTGGCAGAGACCTTCCGTCACTAAAACGTTAAGCTTCCAGGAGATCGACTGCGTACTTGTGACACTGACCACTGTCTAGTGATGAATTTATCTATACGTAGCACGCTAATTTCAACCATATTAAAGGTGTCAAAGCTCAAGGTCAACTCTTAGGGCAAAACTAAAGCGCAGTAAACTTCAAATAGTGCCTTGGGGTGCACTAATATTTATATTACTGCTAAAGGCTGCCAGGAAAAAATTTACTTCAATTGTATCATTTAAGGAAATGCTTTCTCCTCCGAAAAAATAAAATTACACGCGCATAAGTCAGGAGACGACCGTCCTTTCGTCTATCGTTAGAGCTATTGCGTAAAAAAGTAGGACTAATAGGCCTAATAATGAAAAAGTTCAACTTGTTCTACTGGATTTTTCCCGAATGAAATTCCTAAGAAGCTCCTAATTCTAGGTGGCGGCAAAGAAAAAATCTGCAGGTAGTTGACACTCCGTGTTTTCTTCACCATCATTCAGACAGGTTAGCAAAACGGCTAAATCGACTTCGGTCGTGAGTACGGTAATAATGCAACATCTTTTCGACACAATCGAGTACCTTAACAGAACTCGATTACAGTTTTTAACCAGGATATCTGTAAATATCATACTACGTATTTGCGGCCATTGCCTATAAAACAAGGTTGACACCGTTGCATGTTTTCGAAGAAACTACCTTCCGAAGAACTTCCTCAATCAAAGAGATTATTACTAACGGAAATTTAAAAGCTTTATGATGTGAGTTTCGTTATGCATCTTAACTTAAGTTGACCGATTGTGGCGGTGAAGTAATGGGCCACGCTGGGCTGGTCGAGTAATGCCCAACATTTGTATTCATCCATGCACGCGCAGTAACATAGAGTCAGTTTGCTCTACATGTTAAATCCCGTTCGATGGATTTAGTCCGGAAAGTAACCTCAGAGATACTCACACATGTATCAGTCTCTTTCACTGGTACCAAGCAAGTATATGTCGTGTTTGATCTATGCTATTTTTAGCTGGATTTAAGTAACGCGCATTGAAAGACTGACAAATTTTCGAATTCGGCAAAGATCGTATCGTGACGACAGTAAACGCCCCATAAGCATAATAAACTAATAATTTTAGAGCTGACGGAACATTATCAGGTACGATAAATTAAATTTAATTCCTAGCTTTTTTCTCTTCTAGTTAGTTTTATTCAGTGTGTCAACAAAAGATCAGATATTTAACTGTTTTTAATTTTTCAACAGGTGTCTCTAGAAAAATCAGATATTTTTCAGAAGTGGTATCTGTCAAGTGACGTTTTTTTATACATTTCAATTTTTAGCGGTAAAGTGAATATTAACGTTTCGTCCCCTTACATTAAATTTCGTATCAGCCAAGCGTTATCACTCCTTCAAAGGTTGACCCTCTGCTTCAAATCATCAGACGTAATCACGTACACATATTTGTGTACATATAGTCTGTAAGGGTGAAATAAGTTTATTTGTAAAATATAAAGATAGTCATATTATCAGTATGTCCCTGCCTTTACAAAAAGTGCTCAACGTAGCACGCTACGTTGATATCGCTGCTACCTGTCTTATGGGTAACTGCTCGCCAGTGCTGATGCTTTCCTCCTCAGTCTGAATCTCTCGCCCTCTTTCTTACTATTAAAAAAAGCGTGCGTATTCACGGTCGTGTCTAGATATAACACGTATTTGTCGAAATTAGACAAAGCTGTGAGGTCTCTGTTGCTCGTTGATGTTTCGGAAAATCACCAACCTTTCTACACATTTCCCCTGTTTAATACTTCCTCATACTCCATGTCGTACTCGTCATCATCTATTGTACATCGTCATAGCCATTGATATCAGTTGAAGCTGGCTGAAGTCGTTTTGCATCGTAAGCGGTTATAAACACCACGAACGTCCCAGCGTATCGAGAGCAAAGACTGCCATAACTAGCAGACCGCACAGTTTTTCTGTTGACTTTCACTGCCCCTGCGTCACTTTCCCCGCAGTCATTGCTGCAGTAATTTACTGCGCTAGAAAAAACCAGTCCAAACATAAACAACGTGCATCCGAGGCGAACGAAGAAAGAGAGACCGCAGTAGTGGCCGGAACCCATAAAGCGCAGCGTAGCACTTTATAGCAACTTCGGCGCGACGGCTGCTGGCTTGAAATGCGCACAGAGCGAAGGAAAAACAACAGCGGGCACCCTAACTTACGATCATCCATCAACCATCACAATAAAACCACGGACCAGCGACGCCAGCCGATCAACAGCCTGTCCTTCGGTAATCATTACACGATACCAATGGCCGGGGGGCGTTGGTAGAGCTTAGTTGCAACAGGGCAGCCAGTATCGATTTTACTTTGCGATCTTCCTCGACCTCTTTCTTTGCTGCTCTGGAACTGGCAGTACCTGTAGTACTCCTCCTATTTCGGTCATTTCATCTCCTTTCACCTTTTTTATTTTGCCATCCAGGGGCGTATGATCGCGAGTGACGACAACAACAGACGTTACCAACCATAGCAAGGCAGTTACTGTTTTTACCACTAGCATAGGCGATATCGCTTCGTTATGTCCCGTATCTTTTCTAAATAGTCTATATGGATTGCGTCTGCCATTTGCCAATTCTTGATTTAGATTCTTTCATTTGATTGTCTGTTTATCTATCTTCTATTTTTCTGTTGTTTTTTGCAAATCTTCCAGCAAATCTTCTGCTTCGTCTGATTTTCCACGACTAGACGCTGAGGCGCGAGGGCCTCTCGGAACGAAACAGTGATCGACACGAGGGCGGATGTCGATCGCGTAACCAAAACAGGACGTGGCGTCGCCATTGTTGCTGTGTACCCCATGGTCATCGTCATCAGATAGAAGAACACCTTGCACCAAACCAGGAAAGAGAAAGCTAAAAAGAAGGAGAAGCTATTGGCCTAAAAGCGGTGCGGCCAATGAGTTCTGTCTTGGACAGGTTAAATGACGAAAAAGGTGATGATTCAACAAAGCTCGTCGGCCTATCTCTTTTTTTTTTCTTTTTTTAAAGCGTAAATCAGGCACAAGAATAGTTAAGAATATCCGGCAAGAATTCCTTGGTCGCTATAAGGAGAATAAAACTGGCGTATGTGGATGCGATAGTCGATCTGTCTTTTATTTCGGAATAGATTTCGATTTGTGGCCTTTTACTCATCGTAAATTTGCTTTTGTTTATCGTAAAATATGCAGCAATAGATGGTAGGTAAAAAAAACGTACAAGACGAAAAGTAGATTCAAGCTAGTCAAAATTGGTACGGTATAAATTCGATCAAATGCTTAGCTTTACACGGTATCTCATTAGACCTTAAATACTGAGAAGTTTTTTTTCTATAGGAAGACAAATGTAGTTCCTTATGCTTTATCCCTAAATAGATACCTCCGTTGAGCGCTGTTCATCTGGAAAGCAGTAAAAGACACATTAAGCTAAAGCGAATGACAAAAGTCCCTGTTGCTAATTTTTTCCTTATATTTCCATTGATGATTGGAACGACGACTCATTCAAGTGTTAATCTAAGTGATGACGGTGAGAAACTGATTAAATATTAGAGGTAACACAAATCAATCTATTGAGACTGGCGGTGCCAGTTGCGCATGCGCGAACATCACCACCAACAGCAAAATTGCATCACCTGAGCACCTCACACATATCGGCTCGGTTCTATACAGCCACCAAACTCTGACTATACGTACCTTACTATTTGCATTCCGTTTTTACTAATGTCTTGTCTCCTTAAAAACCTCCATCTGACATCAACTGAGAGCGATACTAGCGTTGTGCCTCAATCGCATTGCCTTCAATCAGCTTTCTGAAAGCGTGATCGACATTTTTTTTCTCCTTTTATATGAGATTTCGCACGTACCGTCATTGGTAAGTCGAACCGGAACTGCGTTGACAGAATTGTAATAGTAGAGATCGTTGTTCCAGACGACGCTGAGCTGCGAACCGCGATGCCCCCATCCGGCAAACTGCAGCAGACTCCTTGGGCCACCCGGCGAATGTAAGTCGTAAGCATGTCTGCAGAAAAGATGACGAGGATATTTGCTCTCAGTTGTTCTACATTAATTTCTGCTTCAAGAAATGACTAAACCTTTTAAGTAATAACTGCTATAGTTGTGATCTCTCTCTGTCGAGTTGGGTAGCAGAAGTGCAACCCAACATCTTTGGGATAGCTCCCTAAGCAATATGAGCATGCGAAACGTTAATTTTAATGTCTGCTTACTTTTTGTGGATGTCGTAGATTTTAAACTTTCCTTCGAAACTGTGTCGGTATTTCTGCAAAGAACAGGATTAATTATGTCGGATCAGAATCCGACACAATAATATCGGAACTACCAGCTATTCAGCTGTATAAGGAAAACGGTATTACAAAGGAATTACCCGCTACCATATCTGTCACCATATAGACCATACGTAATTATATCTTCCCCATATCAAACATAACTCGATTGTGTGTTATTAATAACTGCCGTAATAATAATAAATAACTAGTAATAATAACTGACTTATCAGTTAGCGGCAGAATTTATCTTATCTAATTTATCTTAAACATAACTTAAATGATTGATTTTGACACCGATATAGTTTTAGAATTTGCTTTGCATTTAGCTCGCAGTAAAATGTATATATACGATATAACACTCTACAACAACATGAAAATATGCACAGAATTAATAAGATTTTGTCCAGTGTGGTACTTGCCGTCCGGTTATACAACCAACAGAATACCGAAACGTTAGCGGAGCTCTAGGCAAAAGATCACACGTGTACCTCGTATACACTTGATCGAATTACCGTCATGCTCATAGGACTGTCGTTCTTCCCGAACGTGATACATCAAAGTTAGGCGTACTTACAGGTTTTCTTTCAACGGTAAGTAGAAGATGCCGAAGATCGGGCGAAATCTGGTACGATTCAGTGCCATACACATTATACGTTCGCTGAAAAAACGCAAAAAAAACACATGGTCGAATTCTATATGATTTTTAAGATTAACATTTTTTTTCGTCCCTGAACGGTGGAGAACAGCTCGAAGACAAATACATAATTCTATCTGGCTTTTGGCAAGCTTCTAATAGCATATAAGTATCGTGAAAGAATACGAAAAATATCATTTCGGTTACAAAACATGAATTAATGTATTTGGCAAGCTAAGACCCCCGTCGACACCCCCGCACTCATCATAGTAACTAATTAAGAACTCAGCTGCGTTACCAAATGTATGCATTACGATCCGAGAGTGATGGCAGGTGAAAATTCAGCTGCTTGAACACATTTCTACGAACACTATAAGCATATTCTACTGAAGACATTTTATCTAAAGTCGTCGGCTCACGTTTAAATGTCGTAAAACTACAAGCCTCCCAATACTGCCTTCGCTTCCGTGACGAAGATGTTCTTAAAAAAATTCGTATTAACAGCAGTAAAAACATCAGCACTGCTACATTAGACCTACGCAGCTTGGCTAAATAATGGAGTAAACGCGAACTTCACCGAAGTTCCATAGCTACCACGATAGAGTTTATGTTGGCCCACAGTGGCTCAAGTATAATACGCAGAGCCAACAAGTTTATCCGCTGAACGTTCCATCAAGAGTGTCCTAATAACTTTTCTACTTGTTGTATAATATGAGTTGATCGTGTATCCTTTATAACGCAATAAGCCAAAGATAGCGATTTGGTTTGATTAAAAGAAAAAGCTTTATAATTCATTGGAAAAGCTAAAGAAGGCCATTTTAAATAGAGTAGGTGTTAAAATGTTTTCGTACTAAAAAAAGTGCTTTGTCACAGCGCGAGACCAGAACGAAAGGAAAATGTAAAATAAACTGCAGGTCCAGTCTATGTTACCTATATGAAGGTCAACGATTTCCCGATCGTCACAGCCTTCCAGAGCATTTTTAGCGACCTTCTCGTTTTAGATAGATCCTTTTTGGAACCGAGAAGTTCAGCGCTCGAAGTCAACTATCCCTTTTGAGAATTTTCGATCACTCAATCGAGCTTCTTCTGCGTACATTACAACCTCCGATATTATTAGGTTTTTTCCTCTCGCTTCCTTCCAAACTTCTTATACAGAGAAAACAGCACTTCTCAATGCAGTGGAGCCGTTCTTTAATTTTTAGCGAAAAATCGTTGTATCAGTGAACAGAGCCCGGGTTCTAGCCTCCCTTCAAGAGTTCCCCAGGTGAATGAGCTAACTCTCAAAATCCACTATTAATATTATATAACCAAATACCACACTAGCGTATGTAAATATTTTAGTTAGAGACTTACATTTCTAGCCATATTTCAACAAGTTGCTATATGCATGTTTTTGTAAGCAAATGGCCTCCGACTTCGAACACGAATGGACTGCCTAAACCTATAAAGACTCAGTGACCATAATACTGGACTGGATTAAAATGCAATGCTACACTTCCTTGCTATCAATTCAGTTGCCATCTGCCACGTTGTTACAGTACATCCATAACGTTTGACAACGGCAACGTCGCCCGAGGCATAAAGGAACCTCCTACAATGTTGACAGCGAAGATTATTTCACGTTTCAGAGCAGCAGACGCAGCAGGGGTCGATCTTTAGGAATACCTTCGCTTTCTTTCTTTGCGCGACGTCTACCGTGACCTCCCCCCAACGCTACGGACGCTTCTGCTAGCTAGATAGCTTAGCTATAGCCGTTGCCTGAAATCAATCTGGAACTTTGAAACGACGTATGGGGCCGCTTTTTACTCTACTTCACTGTAACTATCGAGAAAGTAGTCGAGTGGTCCTTTGGGGATCTGAAAGGCGAGACGAAGGAAGCGATCTATAGGGTAAGACAGAAGAGCGGATTCTAAAGGATGAAATAGCATGTACTGATGGAGTTATTCGGTAGGATAAAGCGCCCTATCCTCTTCGTTCTCTTCCAAAGAGAATGTACGATGCTGAAGAGTGCGGTGCAAGTACAGCAGAACTATTCAGAAGAGCAGAAATGCCCTTGTGTAAGAGAATAGACTGCTTTTGGCCGACTAGAACCGGCAGGGGCATAGTTCGGTCTCTTGATTCTCTCCTTGCTTGCCTTTGCAAAAGCCCTGTTTGTGCAAATCAAGCCACCTGTCTCTTTTGACTCATCTACTCATGTTCTCGCCTTAAAGGCCCATACTTGCGGTCACGGACCATTCAGTACTTTTTTTCTCGGTTGACAGAATGGTCAGTCAAGACACAGAATGTAGACAGACGAAGTAGTAGAATAATAAAGGATGGAAACAGAAGGTCGGACCGCGCAGACCACAATAGAAGGAAAAGTACAAGCTCATGATTATGTAGACAAGAAGGACATCTATTTTGTTGACTCGTACGAACTATACCGAGTTAGAAGTTAAATTGCCATTATTCTAGGCAAACGCGTGATTATTATTTGGTCCGTTTCATATATGATTTCTACACTAAACAAGATCGAAACGCTGAAAAATATCGAGGTCAAGGGCTTCAATTAAGGTGAGTTCACGGATGTGTTCCAGTCAAAGAGTCTTTTCAAGAAGCGAGTTTATGATGGGAACGACTTACTGTTGGTTCCCAATTACATAGGTAACATGTCTATAAAATTATAAGAGATTTTATTTGATTTCGGAGTACTTAGTTAAAAAATTTACCTCTCCTCTTATCACGTGGGACCGCTAATTGTGGTGCATTGAACGTAACATAAATGGCAAGTGTAATCCTTTAGACGGCTTCAACCAACTTCGCTTGCAAATTAACGGTCGTAGTAAGTAACTACTTACACCTAGTAAGATTTCGGAGGCACTTTAAATTATCTGATTGTCCGTGAGGTGATAATAACTTTTCGAGCGTTTTTTTTTTAGAATGATGGCAACAAAAGCAAACACGTCACAAATAAGTTTCGGCCAATATCTTAATCGTATTGTCGTATATAAACCTCTCTTTTGTAAGGCGCTAAGTGAGTGAACTTAGATGGACGATAGCCTAAATCTTGTCTCTACGATGGTACAGTGGTAACATGTTTATTTGCTAAATTAAAGTGGAAATAAAACGTAAAGAGATGATCGGCGAAAAGGGTCGATCATTTCTTGAAGCAACGCTTCGATGGAATACGTTAAAGCGTAAACATTTGTCAGTACGATGAGGTTCTCTCCACGTATCGATGCCCGCAACCCTACCTAATCCTAATTATAGAAATTCGAATAAAGGGTATCTAGTTTTAGACAGAGTTGATTTTCATGTTAATATCTCTAAGTAGGTCTAATTATAAATTATATCGATACTATGAAATGTCATATAGAATAGAGCATTTCTAATTCGAGTGAAATAAATTCACTTGTATTTGTACTATATATCTGTACAGATTAGCTAAGCACTTACAATTACGTTCAAATAGTAACCCATTTGTGGAACTTACTTTCCACGATAACTTATTGTTCTCGTCGAACTCTCGTGGGTGCTCCTGACATCGTACGATTAACTAGATACGCCGTTAAAAGCACAAAAAGTACTCAGCGAAAAGTTGTCGTTTGATTGAATTGTGTTACAGGAAGGACTGTCCATTGCGGAATTATTGTGGTTGAAAAAGTTCAGTGCCGATAACAGAACCCTAGTTTCGACGTATTAGGCCTACTTCTCACGTTTCCCGTATGCAAAGGATATTGCTCATTTGGGTCGATTCTACATATGTTTACATAACAGGCTGACCTTAAGATAATGTACACGAGATCTATTACAGTAAATTTTTGGTGTTTGTTTTTTGGTATTTCATTTTTTGGGTTCTCACTTGTCGGCTGAGTTCTTATCTTACGCAATTAAAAAATAGTTATGCTTCTCGTTGCTTATCATTGTTAGCTTATTCATTTTATATCTAACGACGCATGGATATGATTCTGAGATTTTCAGTTGGACCAACTTAACCAACCAAGCTTATGTAACTCTTAAATTAACTTCCTCTAAAAAACGAATGAATATCATCCATTTTGGCTGAACAGCATAAATGACCGGTAGTGTCAGATAGATCTGTCACCATTAGTAGACAGAAGTCACTGTTGTTTACACCCCAGACGATCCGCGATATAGAGGTACCTGTGTAGGGATTATATCGACCCAAGAACACCCTTAAAATACTTATTATTGCATCTTCATGGCAAGTAATTGCGGTAATGTATGTACAGAGAAACAGATGCGTCTGAAACAAATACGCCAGAAAATAGAAAAAATAAGGCGAAGCTGTTACGGCGTCTAAAGTGTAATTAGATATCTCTAACCGGCGTAGTCCCGTCTCGTTAGGACCAAAGGATTAAAAAAACCATGTTTGGTAATTTTCCATATGCACATCACGCATTTCACAACTTCCCACATAAAAAAGAAACGTATCTTCAAGTTTAACGTACGTATAACGTATAATGAATACCATGTCACTCGAAATCTGGGACATTCAATGGCCTGACTTGCCGAATAAGATGAAGATTAACTAGATAAATGTATCAGCAAACATGAATAGAGCATCAAATTGTTACATACCTGTTCAGTTATTGATAAAGGCTTCTTTAGAAACCTCTAGATCGCACCCGAGCTCTCAGCAACAAGCGTTTGAAAATCACGATTCTCTACGAGGTAAATATACTCCACAACCATTTTCACTCGTTTTTTTTTCAGATATTATATATGCTACCCGTACTTGACATGAAAAGGGCAAGCGGTAGAGTGTTTGGCTCCTTCCTACCTCCAATGCCATTGGCCATATTACTATAAGAATTGTAGAGGTGTAAAAAGAAGGAGAGCAGGCATATAGACTCTGCGCTGTAGGGGACAGCTTTGCACTCTCCGTCTAGATATCTTCGAGCCGCGAAGTCGAAGATGGAAACAGGAGCAGGACTGGTCGCAAAATCATTTTGTTTTGAAAGATAAGGCTGGCTTAGAATGAATCCAGTGCAGGATTGGGGGGAAAGCTAGAAAGAACCTGCAATGAGGATTAAAACATCCGGTGTATAAAATCGCGACGAAAACAACGCGCTTACTATTTGGAGTTAACCTGACGGTTTCTACTCTCTGAAATAATTTATAGCCTAATAAGTCGTGCGTCTTTTTGTCATTTCGAGTTATACTCGCCGTTTCTGATGACATTTTGCATGACTATATGACACTCATGGCAGTGTTAAAGACATCGTTCTATATATCCGAGATTGATTATAGTGTGACTTAGAAAAATAGTACGCCAGATAGCTCGGCTATAAGCCTGTAGGATGAAGCCAGAAAAAAACTTGCCAACTTGAGCCATTTAAATACCAATTTCAACAGTCGAGAGGTCTGTGTTTACTCGATGAATGCATTGTAACCAGGTGAGGGTTCAGTCATTCGGCTAGCGGCTCTTGCATTCAACGTATGTTGCCAATCCTTAAAATTTAAAAGTCACGTGATACCTTTGCTCACCCTAGTTAAATATACGCAAGCGATGATCTGAGATGCTCTCTGGAAGTGAGATCTCTATTTTATTATTATTACGATACGCAGGCCGCATTCAGGATACATAGCGACGTGTTGCAGGACAGCGTTCAAAGTCAGCGTGGTTCCCTTTGGTGTTGTGCAAATATTTGTTATTTTACAGGTGGGTTGGGCAATGTGCAGGTTAATGGCGGCGCGGCCGAGATTAAGCCTTGTCCAATTCTACGATTAGCAGCCCAGAATTGTAAACCTTGTTTATCATATTGAGAAACTACGAGGTTCTATCTGAAGATATAGTGATTAACGATCCGAAAGGGGCAGGATTTGTAGCCTTGTATATCTCTCATATCCCTAATCTGTATACTATATTCTCATTAGTAGACCTCACAAGCCGGTGACCTATCCCTCATCGACTTGAATTATTGTATGTACGAGTGAAAAAGAGACAAAACAGTACTGAAATAGGACATTCTAAAGTACACCTATGTTAAGTTCATAAGCACGTTTTTTTTCTGAAGACATATAGCCGTATATCCTGTACGGGAAATTTAAACATATCCGTGACTTACGCATGTATCAAGCAGAAGCGCGCGTGCATACTCTTCGGTCGGCTTCGTCACATTTTAAGACCCATTAAGAACCGTGCGTGCTATATCCTGTTCTTTATTACATTTGCGTCGCCTCTAACGAAGTCAACATGGCGTTGTGTGTGACACAGTAATTTGGAACCTCGCAGCTATTATTTTTCTTCACTTATACAGTAACAAGTCATGGAGGAACACGTGAGTTCGAGAGGTGCCAGCGAATTATTTATGATAGGACGTCAGACGCCGTTATATACGTGACATGATATAATATTTACCCATTTAATCCTGGAAATTGTATTCGTTGCGGATGAATCAAAGAAGACAAAAGAAAGCACGCGCGATTTTATGGATATATGCATTAATATAATTATTGATTCTAGTTGATAGTGGAATATCCCTGTAATTGTGGAGCAGGGCGTGTTCATTTGCTAATCTACTGTATGGTCTTCGTGTGAAACGAGACGTAGACACGTTGTGTTTAGTGTATAAAGGGATTTGTTGACTGGAGCAATACTATAATCATAGTGTTGAGCGTATAATTAGCAACATTTATCTAACATCTATGTGAGTCACTGAAACTACGGATAATTTATGTGTAGCAATCGAAGGAGACGTGTGCAAGAATTCCACATTTCAATCGCCTTTTCCTAGGCTACCGAATTTTATCCGTGGAGACATTCGCTTCAAACTGTATTGTAGCCATCTTGTAGCTGGCCAGAGTTGTGTCCTTCAGGACGCAGGAATATATGTGAGTACACTCACGAAAGGCAGTGCGACATAGCGGTATTGAGAATACTGCCAGTCTTTCTGTTATGTATTGCTCCACATACACATTTCATCTAGTATGGATACTTCTCCCACTGCAAAAATCACGATTATATCGCATCCACTCTCGTATATGATATCCTAGCTTACCAAACCTATGCCCTAAGTCTGCTCGACTCACTCTGTAGTATCCTGAAATCTCTGTTTTCTTGCCTCACTAGTTGCTGCTCTCTCCTCACACCCGGCGAGCCTGTTTAGGTGTCGATATTATCATTAACCCCATCGAGTTAGCGCTGAAGAGTCTGAAGTCCTCTGAAGAAGTCTTCATTTCACAACATTATCCAGTTACCTAACGCTATTTTTGTTCCTATTCTCCTCTCGCTTAAGGGCTTAGTAAAAGGCAGACGGTCTCGATATGCCTTAATGGCAGTTCGGCGTTTGAATTCTCGACAGATAAATGAGAACAGACATATGGGAATGCGGCTGTAGTGTCGTTAGTTATCCGAACACACACTGTTATTTAAGTCCAAATTTACGTAAGTTCGACTATAGATAATCTTATATACACACTATATATAGCCTTATTTAGTGCTTATAGCTAAGCAGGGTACGAACAATAGGTATCTTCTGGTAGGTAATTTTCAAGAATGAAGAAATGTCCGCACTTTACAAGATAATGTATTATAGATTGCACTTAGGCGCGATAATCATATACGGTTATTAACCAACTGCTGATAAGGTGAACATTAATTCTAAACGTTACCTACTTATTTCACCGTGGAGAGATTATCTACTCAGATATAGGTAAAGTCGAAATGCTTAGTAAGCTGGCAGCAGTGATTTGAGAGAAAGTAAGAAAAAGATGTTACTTACGAATGTTGTGTTGATAACGAGGTTAGTAAGCTTCTTCGTGAAAACGTCGTATGAAACCAGTGCACCGTCGCCGTTACGGAAGGTGAGCACCGTATCTGACGTCCACGATCCATTGAATCTATTCGGTTGAAACTCACCGTGAAGTATCTCATCCAACGAAATTCGCTGATTCTTCACTCGCGGACCGGTATCCGCTACGACAATGTAAAGACAAAAACGAATTTATCGTCGATTTTTCGAGGGATACTAGCGGCTATGTTAATCAAGCGTTGTTACAATAATTAATAGGTGCTTGAATAATGTTCGTACATACGTATAAAAAATGGCACGTGCTTTTTAGTCGGAGATTTAGATTACGTCGTACCTGATATGTCAGATACTGGTCAGGCCGTCAGACCTGATAATGTAGTATAATAAATAAGCGTGCGCAGTTCATTGTGACGTGCCAATATTTTTCGATCGTAATGGCTTTTGGTGAAAACTGACGGTAATACCATTGATATTACTACTACATATGCTACACAGACGGCGACTTGTTGAGGCCAAGGCGAAGCACCTATACTCGATTGATCGCAATTCATAGATCTTACGTTGAGCTCTATCTGCAGCCTATATCGATATACGCTTGATAACTTGTGTGAATAAAGCAAGTTATGGAATTTTCAATTGTAACTATTTTCGTTGGCCACTTTTTAGATAAGCGACCTCTTTTCTCCGCAGTAGACATTACCCCGTTGATGTCGTTATTTTCCTATTCTATACGTCTCTACGTTCGTACGTAAGTATGCAGGCAAGAAATAGCGGCAGAAGGGCCAGTGCACCAACAGGTGACGCGTACACACATCCGAGCATACGGCCGAGTGCGCGTTCAGGCTTTGCCCGGGCTAACTCGGAAATCTCTCGATATCTACTTCCACTATCGGAGCAGGAAGTTTTGACAGAGACGACGGTTGGAGATGGGGAGCAGCAAGGGGTAGGGAACACTTCGTTTGAAATCAGATTAGAAGGCGGCGGTGGCAACAACAGATATTGGTAGCTATATCGATACCAGCTCCGTAGTGCAGCTTTACTTTGAAGACCAGATCTGTGTAGCAAATGATAGTGTCACCCAATCGATATCGGAAAGCGGTAAGCACTTTTAGCTGAAATGTTGCTAACTTGTTTTGGTACAACTAACTTCGACAGCGTAAGTTAAATATATCGTTTAATTAAGCAAAAAGTACACTCGTAGTTGCTGTCTATGTATGCCAGACAATTTTTGCCGACAATAAATAATCGAACCCAAAATGTACCGGGTTGATTCGGTACTCTAAAATCGACCTCGAAAATGCAAAGTGAGCATTAATCATTGCACGGTCCGACCTGATAAATTTTTTATGTATAGCACTATCCTACATTGGTATTGCTTCAGGCTACTCATCCTTCTCGGTGTGAGGGGCACGTAACGGTAGTAATACGGGCATTTAAACGAATTTAAATAAACCTGTCGTTTGGATTTATATTTCGCGGTAACAATGAACTTTTTACTCTCAACTAGCTGGGCCGTAGAAGTGTGGCAGAAACATCAGAAGTACAGGTAGTAATTCTGCTAAATTACTACCTGTACCCATCTGATAAGGGAATCTCGGTAGATAACTTTCAAAAGGCCAGTGCACTCCGTCCCATTTATATTTGCTGCTATGGACAGAGAGGCTACAGGTTCATTGATTCCCTGGAGGAATATGTATCGGTTGGTATATATCATAAGAACTAACATAAGAAAACCACTGCTGGTACATACAAGGTCAAAATTTTAAACGAAGGGCCGAGTATCGAATGGACATCTTATTGCTGCTATATTAAGTTCCAACAAATAAAAGCTTTGAGAATGCAGCATAATGATTTGCTGAATCACATGCGCATATATGAAGATACGATACAGATTTGTGGCGCAACATACTCGATGATCTTGGCTTAGAAAGCTCTTGGATCACAATTTCGTCTCCGTTTGTCATTGTTCTCGTTAGCGTCATTTTAACTTCGTTTTAAGCATTTATCTTCGGAAATTATTTGAGAAACAAAAAAGTAAAAGAAGACATTTTTGCCATATAATATGCGCAACATTTACTTAATGAGAGTGTTATGTGCCATATAGGAGCACATAGTCTTCTAAAATCAATGTAAGTAGAACGAGATGTGCACAGCAGTAATGAAGGCTTTAATGAACTCAATTATCCGGCCTATAATAAATCCACCCTCAAATAATTCAGTAACACATGTTTCAGAGGCAGACGTGTACGTGTTCGTAATTTTTACGGCAGACTCGTATCACATTTTCATAATCTAAGAGAATATACCAGTTGAAGCGACAGGCTTACAAAGGCAAATTCAACCACTGAATATATTAATGAGAAACTTCCGCGTTCTGCGACAGCATAGGAAAGACAGAAGTACTTAAATAACGAATAGCGAACTACCAGTACTATGGGTAATAAGCAGTGGAAAAAATCGACAGCAGACAACCTCGATGATCCGAGAGCGACGATATAGAGCCTGAATTTAAGAAGTTTAGCGATCATACGTTTGCGGAGATGGCGGGCTGGAAAGGAATAGGGAATAGGAGACTCAGTGCCTATATTAAAATTCATTGGTCGATACTGAAGGAAAAGGCTCAAGACAACATCTGAGCCATCATAGGTGCCCATGGGCGCTGGCGTCACCCAGACCGGAAGTATTTAGCGATGGAGATGCTTCGGTATGGTAGCGCAACAGTCGTGCGACAAGAGCACCTGTTTATTGCAATATGTAGCAAAACAAATTAGATATCTAGTCGGCTAAAATGATCGAGCCGGCTGCTTGAATCGACGTCTATGTCAAATAGGTATATGTTAAGTAAAAGACTCAGTGGCCTCTGCGAGGACTGAGGGTGTGCGACCTTTATGATACTGGCACTCAAGCGCTATAAGCTACCCCTAGCATAAACTAAAATATTGCATAAATCAGTTTGTTAATGTTCGTGATTTTGTTACACAGAGCAGTATTACAACAAGTGCTAATTATTAAATTAGACCTGAATAGTCGAAGGGGGCAGATCCCCCAGATCCTGCTACAAGCAAAGCAAGTGTATGGGACTGACTTCGGAGTGCTAATTTTTTTGAGCTCGACAGTACCATGCCACCTTCTTCGCAACAATAAAAAAGATAAAGAATCGACAAAAATCTCCACAATTAAATAGATCTCGTCCCAAGACGCAATACATACGATATTGCAAGCTTCTGTTGAGGTTAACTCTTATCACTTTTTCTAGTTAAGGACTATCAAATCCGTGGGTGTAGGCACAAAACCTACAAGTTCCTAGAGCCAAAGATACACATGCACGTTTGATGCACATAAGTATTCTTCTGTATAAATTAAATACTCGAACACCAGCTGGAGTCCGCGTCCGGCGCTATTTGAAATGATACCTGTGGTTACCTGAAGAATGACGAACGGATGCTTAAGCACTTACAGATATCCTTATGTATCGAGCAAATAGAAAGCCAGGACATCAGTCCGCACAGTTGAGGATTCGACTCGATCCACATCGACAGCGTTATCTCAAAAGAGCAGACTCAAGAGAAACTTGTTAGGAGTCAGTGCTTGTGTCAACGGTAAACAAGGACCGCCAAACAGGCAACTGTTGAAGCGCCAGTATCCTCTTGGCACCGTGTCGTCCTACAGCTTGAGTCGTACAACAAATTCTGTTCGTAAACTTTGCTAACGTCAGTCGCTTTGCTAATTAAGGTTACGCCTTTAATGCTGATACAAAGCATGCAGAAAACACCTTCTAGCTACGGCGATCAATCGCTTACTGCTATTCACTATAGCCGTTTATGCGGCAACCGTGACACAAGTTACTAGAATACAATAAACCGTTAGCATATGTCACATCAAGAAAGGGAGGTATGTTTTATTTGATTGAACGACAAATCGTTTCGTAAGAAAAAACACAACTCACACGGTCGGCGCCTTTTTGCCAGTGGACCGCTGTCTGGGGGGTGGAGAGAGAGAGAGATACCGATGACTAGCAGCTGCTCTCACCAGCTGCGTCTACGGCGCAGGCAGCCGACGCTAGGGAGAAAGTGGTGAAAGTGGCAAGTACCAGGAGGTCTCTGCGCCAACAACAGCACGGATGCTTCCATCGACAACGATGACTGCAAGGAAGACTTGAACAATCGGCGTCATAATCATCACTGTCCCTCTGTGGCCGAGCTATAACGGACGACATGGACGCGAAAGGGCACAGTTTCAAACGATGACGCATGTCAGTTACCGTGGTGCAGTTGGAGAGAACTGCATAGCCGCTTGTTATCTTATCTAGCCTAACACAAGTTTCAAATAGGCTTGCTCAGTACTATCACTGTACGGGTTGAGCCACGATAACCAAGGGAACTTGCTAGACTACGTAATGCCGGAGCGGTTGGGCCAGGCGTTAAAGAACAAATGGCTATCGGCTTTGAAGACTGTTGGCAAGTAGAAGAACCGCGTCGTAAATGACAACATAATATTACTTAATGTACTCATTCCATAACCAGCTGACCGACTATAAAGCAAACGCGGTCTTAACGGTCGAAAAAAAGGAACGTCCGAATGGATGACATTCAGCGAGGCGCCTTTCTACTGATTTACTCTGCTAGCGGAATGACGAAGGCAACGGAGCTGAAGGGAAAAAACATTCATGTGGACAGCACAGAGGGAATATGTGGAAAGAAGCAAAAAAATAGTGAGAATAAAGAAATACGCCTATCGTGTTTCATTTGCAGCTTTTTTCTGGTTACAGCTCTTCTCCTAGATCTGTTAGAAGTCTGTGATAGTGAGGAGAGTATCAACCACACAACTATCATCATTTACATGTTTTCCATTATGTAGCATTCTTATGCTTTTGCTTTGCTTTCGATTAAGGCGTGCAAACTGGGTCTTTGCGTCAAGATTCATAAGGAATTCATTCAGCGCATACGCTTGTCCGTTAATAGCTTCGACACCGTGGCCATTGTCTCCTTTCACCACGAAGAGATATGAATAGTCATCAAAAATACTTGTGCTCTTGGATCTAACGTTATAGAAGGCGTGCATGATACTGAATAATCCGATACGCATCTAGAATATCTTAAAGCCATTGCCTCGATCGATTGTGATGGCACTACGTCCGTGGTAATCGGCGTGGCCTCCCGCTAGA